AAGGCAATAAAGTTCTACAGTAATCCTGTATACAACTGAGGGTTGTAAATGGGTGGTAATTAGTAGCGACTTTCTTTGTTGGAATTTCTATGAAAGTCATTAACTAATTAAGCTTTTCAGGCTTGAAGAGCACTTTTGAAAGAGACCTTTCTCTTGACCTGCTTCAGGCCTTATATCTGATCTGTGATCTTACCACCATGTGTCTGGTTTTTCCCCCAACCACGCATACTAATGAATAAATGCTATTAGCAGTTTATATTTACAAAGCACTGTGCAAACAATTCTTACCACACTGCTGTGAAGTGGATAATGAGCATTTTTACTGATAGTCAGCCACAAATTACTGGCCTTTTTGGTTTTGTGCTCTACACGGAAAGTATTTGGCCTTTTATTGTGAGGATTAACTTAGCACAAAGTTGAACTGGCGTGAGGAGGATTTACATTACGCTGTACATATGTATTAAGAGTGAAGGAATCAAAAGGTGTCTTTCTAAAAGTTTTAAACCTCTGATGTTTGAAAGCCCAAGTAAATACTGTTTTTAATTTCTGCAGCTCTGTACAGAATTTTGTTAGGATATGTTCTTTAGAGAGGAGCCTGAAGAGGGGTGGGTGGGAATGAGGGGGGAGAGAGGGAAAGAAAAAAAAGGGCTACGTAAGGTTTTTCTTTCCACTTGTCAGGAACAGTGGGTTTTTGTGTTCATTAGTATCTTAGATAGAAGGTTACGGTGAAGATAGCTTAGCTTTGCAGTGGCACATCCTGAGTGATGATCACGCAGCAAAGTGTTGAGGAATGTAGTCTCGGGGAACAGGTAGGCAGTTCTGGAAGGTGCTTTTAAAGATACAGGTGTGGAGAAACTGGCAGTGCAGTGGATGCCGTGTGAAATGGAGAGTGATCCAGCTTATGTACCTGGTTGTGCTTCAGTAAAGCATTTTGTGTGATTTCAGACAAGCAGCTTAACATCTTTATGCTGTAGCTGTCTGTGTCTAAATTAACTCTGTGAGAATTAATTTAAGAATTCGTAGTGCTCTGATACTCCTCATGGGCATGAATTTACATATTATGACTTTAAGTTAGTAGTAGTAGGGTAAGAAGTGTCATTTGCCCTCATTTTTAGAAATGGACGTCCAATAAAGGGTTTCAGAATATGAGGTTTTGATCCTAAATAAGTAACCTTGCTTAGAAAAGTGCTCACCTCCCTTCGCTCTCCTTGAAGTGTGCCAAAATTCTTGTCACTGCAGCAGGGAATGTATTCTAGGATTCCCTAGAGGATAGCTTTCCAGACATGTACAGCTTGGCTATACATGGAAGAAACACTGAAACGTGGGGAGTTACTTGGATTTATCAAAATATTCTGGATTTCTGCATCACTGGTTGGAAGACTCCACACTCTGCGAATCAAAAATTCTGTTTTTCTTGCAGGGTATAAAAGAATACAGTGTGCCCGTAGGTCTTGATGGGAAAGCACGAGTGGACTTGGTTGTTGTAGGATCAGTGGCTGTCTCTGAAAAAGGTAAGATAAAGCATTGTAAGCTTTTCAGGAGGAGGGTCTTAAGTCGCAATTCACAATGTCAGTAGGCTACGCTACGTGTTCGTTCTGACAGACCCAAACATGTCTTTGGAACTGAATTACGGTCTTGAGTTCTGTCTCTTCTGTGTGGCAAGTCACTGATCCCAATCCAACCAGGAAGAGTCAGTGCCTGCTTACAACAAAGCCGCCAGGACTTGGTGGGCAGGCAGCAGTGTGGTTTAGAGCATGCAGGCCAGTGTTTTGGCCTTCAGTAGAACTGTTCAGGCAAGCGGTTTCTTTTTTTTTTTTCTTTTTTTTGCTTTTAAAAAAATCAGAGGGGTTCAGAGGATCTGCTCTGCTCTTGCAGGGTGTGTGAAAGGACATGTTACAGCTGCTGATTCAGTACCTATTTAGGGATCAGATTTTGAATTTTCTGGTATTTTGAAGACCTGCTTGTGGTGAAAAATTTGCCACTGACTTTATCCATTGCCTAAAATAACATGCTCTTTGCGTGTGACCTAGACTCCTCTTTACCCGCATGAAGTTAACTGATGTTTGACATGAGTAGAGGGTTCTAATTACAATGGGTAAATAAACCATTTCTCTGTTAAACCAAATTTAGCCCATTTGCCCCAATGGGAGGCTCCTGGGATCCTTTAGGAGTTCATTGAAACTAATGTTTTATTTTAATTTCAGTGATGATTACAAGGAAAGTTGCGTTCTGTGAGAGATGCTGATCTGAATTTTTCCTGAGTTACAACTCTGTGCTTGGTTTATCTGTTGCAGACTGCTTAGTTTGATTGCATGCTTTTGACAGTTACCTGCCTTTCCACTCTGCCGTTTTTGTGTTTATTATCACTGTTTGGTTTTGCGTGTTTCAGGGTGGAGAATTGGAAAAGGGGAAGGTTATGCAGACATGGAATATGCAATGATGGTGTCAATGGGTGCAGTGCAGGCGGATACACCTGTAATTACTATTGTGCATGACTGCCAGGTAAGTTAAAATGTCGGCTCTCAAGTGACGAGTCAGAACTGTGTGATACTGAATGGTATGTCTGAAGAAGAGACTTGGAATGATGTTGGCGTAGCATCTTTTCTTTGTTTTCTGCTGTCGTCGACAGATTTCTCGTATGTTGCGAGACATCAGGAACGGTGCGCAATTTTAGTGAATTTGTTTTTAACTATTTACCGAATCTCTTGTTCCTGGTAGGTGGTTGACATAGCAGAAGAGCTTCTTGGTGATCATGATTTAACTGTGGATTACATACTCACTCCAACAAGAACTATCAAGACTAATTGCAAACGACCGAAACCTCAGGGAATAATATGGCATAAGGCAAGTTACCTCTGCTAACGGTGGCTTACTGGTGCTGCCATCCTGCTGATAAGTCCCCCATTTTTACATATAAACATATTTGTTGTATTTGAAATACTTGGAAAAGGAGCAAATGTGTTTGTCAGACGAAACAAAACAGCAGCATATGTGTTCAGTGTTTTTAAAGTGGTAATGGCGAGGAGGAGAAATATGTTATTGCAGCTGAGGTTGCTGTATCAAATGGATTGTAGGGTGAGAGTCACTGGAAACATCGTTTGTGGATTTTTAAGATAGACGTCGTTTCTTGTAGTCGTTCGCGGTATAATAGTCTGTGTAAGATGAGGGGCTTCTGCACTTTGTGTTTTATTCTTCAGGGCTCATTGAAATTGGCTCTGTTCATTTTCTGGAGACAGTACCATAGCGAGAACTTTATGGCATTAGGCCGTGCGAAATGAGTGGAATATGTGCTGCTCTGGTCGTGAAAAGGAAAGCGTGACCTAGTGGCTGGTACATTGCTGTTTACGTAGTGGATGTATGGGATTAACTTTCAAAGGATAGACGAATTTGTGGCTGGAGCTCATTTTCAGGTGGAGGAATAGTGACTTTATACCGCTTTAAATCATTAATCATTATTGATAAATATTGTTTTATGGGTTTGGCTTCCCTTCCCCAAGATTGTCAGAAACTTTAGCAGCTTCACAAATGGTTTCAGAAAAGTATTTAGTGAATTGTTTTACTGGAAGTTCATGCTGGGAAAACTTTTTCTTTGTCATTAGATTTTCATTCCTAAAATTATCCAGTTAGGGAGCAGACGCAATCCCGCATGATTGAGTAACAGTAGGAAGACTGAAATGAGGAATAGTATACCCGTGTCTTGCAGAAACCACTGAGGAATTATTAGTGAATACTTCTAGGGAAATCAAGAGTTGTTTGTTAAGCACTTGCCAACCAACAAAAAGAGTTAAATTTGTTAAGGTAATGTATCTACAGCAAACAATTCTAGCCAGTACTATTTTTATTTCTATGGTGGGAGAGTGTTTTACCCTGCCTGTGGTTGAGGATTTGAGGTTATAAATAAATAAATAAAAGCTATGTCTGTACTAGTGCATTTTTTCCATTGAATTATTTTTGAATCGTAATTTTTTTAGGATATTATTGAATGTAATTGTTTTGAAGGCCTACCCCTTGTGCTCCATCCATCTTGCCAACATACTTTTGATCACACTCTGTCTGTCTTAGCGTCAGACTTCAATCTCAGTAAGTGGCCTTGCTAACGCTCTTTTTTTTTTTTTTTTCCTGTCTGATTCCCTTTAGCAGCAACATTTTTCAAAGGTCTGGGGAACGCAGTCTGTTGCAGGGGCCATTGAATTTTTGTGAAACTTTTGCCGCTCATGCAAAGTCAGTCACTCCCAAGCCACGTGTCAAATTCGATGTTACCTTTGCATTTCTTTGCTTTTTAGAGGGAAAAAAAAAAATCAAGATCAGTGTTCTAATATACACCTCATAAACTAATGAGGTATTTGCCACAGCTCCTTTGTGCTTGTGTCTAATGCTTGAGGAGATGCTTAGTAGAGCTGTATCTAAAGCTTGCTGACTTTAGCCAGTTTACATGAGACAGTGAAACTTTTTTTCTATACTAACCTCTACATTAGTGGTGTTGTCTGAAAAATACACCTCTGGCTGATTTTCTGCAGCTTTCACTGAGAACAGAGCACATTACGCGATCGAGCCTTTGAGTATTGATTTAACACCTAAAACTGCTTTTGGCTGTTCTTCAGAGCATATGTTGACTAGGGAAGAATATTGGAGAATACTAGCCAGAGGAGGGATAATCATTACATTTCTGGTGTTCTGGGACAAGAACAAAGTGTTGTGTCTATATGAAGAAGAAATAAATTAGCATTATTCTTTCACAGGGAGCTGAACCACTTGTGTGTGTTTTGTTTGTGGTTGTGGTGGTAACTGTATGAGCAACTCTTGCACAGAGGGTCTTGGAGGTGGGAGGTCTAGTTAATGGACAGGGTGTTAAAAATGCAGGATTTGATAGGGGCTATTTAAGTGTTTGTCCTTTGACTTTTCCTGGCTGTTTCTACATCCTTTTCTCATCCTTTTCTCTACAACCTTTTCTCCTTCAAATCCTGGCTTTACTGGTGCATTCCTGTTCCTCCGAACAAAACTAAATGAACCAAGAGGCAGTGAGTAAATAAATAACCCACTTCTAAATATGGTGTTTTGGCAACAGAAAGTAGCTTAACTTCATTGTTAAGATGTGTGATGTGTAAAATACATTGCAGAAAAGTTCATCCTTCAGCAACATGGCTGGATCAAGCCAAGACAATGGTTTAAGAGCTTTAATTAATAGGTGTTTGCAAACATGGGATTACAGCTAAGCATTGTTGTAAAGGACGTGCTTTCCTGAAGCTGTTCGGATAAACAGCCATTAATACATACACTCTGTTTTCGGCTCGAAAGAGGTAAGAAGGTACTTATGCAGCAAACAAACTGCATGTCTCCAGGCTAGATTTCTGTGCTCACAGGGATACTGCATTTTCCTGGAGTGTTTTTGTTTGTTGTGTGCTATGTAGGAAGGAAGAAGTGTGTCAGGTATGGGGATGGGGTAAATAGGTGTTCCTCCGTGAGTAAACGATTCACTTATTGAGGTAATTGGCATGGCTTGCCCTCAGTTGCCTCCTTTCAGTTCTTTCCAATGCAGAATTTCCAGCTGAGCTATTTCTTGCTGTCGAGGTAGTATGTTTTTCCAAACAGGAACATGTGACTGACTTGCTATGATTTTTGTCACAGAAGTGCTGATTTAAAGACTTCCAAGGAAGTATAAGAGCTACAATATTATTAATACCAAAGAAGCGTTATCAATATCAGTGCTAGGCACTGCAGAAACGCTTCCAAATACGAAGGCAGTACAGGAGTGTGTATATGGGTACGTTTTCTGCATCTGAGTTCAGGGCTTTGAGAAATCGGTATGTGCTCTTGGAGGACAGCAAGAGCTGCTAAGAGCTGAGCACTCTGGAAAACTTTATTTGGATGCCAGTGGAGAATTATTTGGCTTCATCTGTCTTGAAAATCTAACCCATTGTTTCTGGGAAGTCTAAATTCATGAAGCGACTTACTTTCTCATTTAGTATTTTGTATGGGTAGCTGTGATCTTTATCTGTGACATTATTATATTTGTCACAATTATGGAATTATTTGTGCTGTGCTTATTTTAAATTGAAACTGTACAGACCAATTAAAATATTTGGGGTCATGAAGAGGCAAATGAGAGTAGTTGGTGGAAAAATCACTAGATTCTAGCAAGCATTTCCTTCTGTTTCTTTAATCATTCTTTTGCTGAGAATTTTATAGAAGTAGGAAAGATTTTTCCCAAGATGAAATGAACTGGGGGGAATCCCTGGGTCTAACGTTGAGAGAGTTTAGCACGCAGTGGCAGAGATGGAAACTACCTGACAACAAACAGCTATTGATTCGGGGCTGTGATAGAATATTTGGAAAGTAAAATGATGTTGTTTTAAAGCTCAAAAAATTCACACACTGAAGCTGGCAAAACCTTCAGCAGGCATACAGTGTTGCTGTCAGAAGAAAATGGCTGTCAGTTTAGCCGAGGTGTGGTTTATTTTGGTTTTTTTTGGAGGAATAAGGTGAGCAGGGCATGCCTCCACGCATGGTTAAACATCTCAACACCTTTGCAAATCTGCCCCTTGCTGCAGAGTCCATGGAATCAGTTTTTGCTGATAGATTCCAAATGTGGGTTGCATAAGTTTCTCCTGAGGGACACTAGCAGACTTCACGGGCTGCCAGCTCCCAGAAATATGCCCTCGGATTGCGTGCACATATTTGGACATTTTGTGCAAATGAATGATAAAATGTTCAACTGTGCTGGCCCGTCCTAGCTGTCTTGGCTTTGTCAGTGCTTTAAACCCCCGTGAGCACAGTGCTCCTTGAAACAAGCAACCGATTAAGGAGACAACATGAGAAGTGGGCTCCGTCCTGGAGGCCTTTATGAGGACTCGAGGGTCAGACACCCCTCAGGGTGGACAAGGATGAATCTTTCAAACACCTCAATACTTGGAAGGGCTGGTGGATCTGCTGTGCTAAAGATTGTTTGGTCTTGTTCGCAGCCTTCCACGGCAGGGCAGGGCAGCAGCAGCATCTGTGTTCTTATATCAGTTGGTGTGTGCAGATGGGTAGCTGTGTGAAGCAGAATTAAATAGCAGACCTAGCATGCTCTCCAATCTATAGCTGTCCTTCCCTCGTCTGCTGTACATCAGAACTGCACCGCCTGTGCTGCCAGGGAAATCAAAGTGGTGTTTGGCTTGGCCTGCGCTATATCAGGGGTCAGCATTACTCATTCTGTCAGAGGACAAACACATCTTTCATTTTCCCCAGCAAAATATTGAAAGTGGCTACACTCACTGTCCTGGAATAACAGAGGTTGAAGAGAGCCCTGATGTTCCAGCAGAGACCTTGCCGAAGTCCATCTGCCACTACGTTGTTTTGGGACCGAACCAGGTGTCGTAAGGGTGGATGCTCAGGGTTAAGTGTTGGGAGATTTGTATTGGCAGTCGGCATCCAAAACTCTGTTTTCTTCAGGTTTCTGTCAGAAAAGGGGCCACATTTCCCTTCTCAGCTCCTTTCCCATAGCCCGGTCATTGTGTGCCAGAAGAATTCATCTACCCTGCTGTCCTCTTTCCCCAAGGCTCTCCCAGCTATGGCAGGGAGTAGGCAGGATTGTTAAATGATTAATTGCCTTTGGTGGAGTTATTTTTAACCTGAATCACTTCAGTTACTGAGTTTATAGCGCAGACTCACAAGCACTTCTGTTGGCCAACCCCAGAGGGCTGAAGTATGGAACTGGCCTGGGAATTGGTGGTCAGGGGATAATAGGAAACTTCTTCAGCTGGCTTCACTGCCAAAGCCAATCGTTTAGCTAAATCCCAACACTCAATACAAAGTTTACAAACATCAATAAATGGTTTGGCCTTGACTTTATAGGGATGGGGGGAGCAAGGGAAGAAGCTTCCGCCACTGGGTGTGCCCAGGTCTGCATAACTGGATCACCCAGACCTGGGGTAGAACCCAGGTCCCCTGCGTCCTGGCTTAGCCTAAAGCGGTAGGCAAGGCTAGGAAGGAGTGACCAGCCGGCACAGGACCAAGAAACGTGCAGCTTGTTTGAAAGAGAGGAGGAATATCTTTGGCCTCTCTCCACGTGGAAATAAATCATTGCAATCCTCCACAGCTCACAAGACAAAAGAAACTCTTTGCATGATCGTAATTAGCAACACATTGTACTACCACAGAGTTCTTTTGTTTGCTATTTTGCAACAGAGCAGAGCAAGCTTTTTCCTCTGCTCTGCCGCCCACTGCCCCCGTTGCCCTTTTGGCTCTTACCCCCTGCACCCCAAAAAATGTAGTGAGTTGTTTTGTTGAATTGAAACTGAAATCCCAAACTGAGTTTCTGCCTTTCCTTGACATAAAAGTGGGGAAAAATAGGGAAGGATTTGAAACCTTTGGCCCAGCTGAAAGATTCTCCTAGACCCCAGGGAAAACAGCCCTTAAGGTAAATCCACTGTCTGTCTTTTGTGGCAGAAGGATGTCACTTGATAATGTCAGAACTTATCTAATGTAGTTTTTTTTTTTTACAGAATGTTTTCTATTACAAACAAATCTGAGTGCCAAATCAACTGCTTTTGTTATCTCTACAGAGGGCGGAATTTAAGGTAACGATAGGTTCGCCTCGTGGGGTGGTGTTTGATGAGCAGAGCTTCAGCTTTTGTAGAAAACTAGTTCATGCCCCTTACGAAGACGTTATATGCTGTTGTAACTGCATCTTCCTGAGTTTGCAGGGAGCCTGAAACGGTAGCTCAAGGAGCTCCAGTCAAATGCCAAAAACCACTGGTCCCTCTAGTGAGAGGAGAGGCCGTGTTGAAGCCTGGCCAGCTGAAGTCTTAGAGAGTGTGCTGGCCCTTGGATTATTGAACTCCTCTCCTCGATCTGTCCTTGAAAGACTGGGAGTTCCAGAGATCATCCTGTCATTGCCCATCTCTTTGATTCCCTTTATCTACAAAGTGGTGAGGGTTTGCCCTTGCTAGCATTGGTCTTTCTAACTCAACACCCAGTCCGTGCCTTGGGAACTGAGTTTAATTTCAGGGTGAAAGGAACTGTACATACACTTGGTAATAGGTTGAGGTTGTGCTTTGGGCTCAGGAATGATTAGCTGCATGAGAATAGAAAAATGCTTTTCCTGTTTGGTTTAATTAGCATAGAGCTTACATTTCACATAGAAATTTGACAGAGGACAACAAATGTTCCTAATTGTTGGCCAGTAAAAACAAAGTAAGATGGCTTCAGCCATTGGTTTGATGTTGTATCACCCAGGGAAGGGGAGTTTGCTGTCAAACACAGCAGTCTGAATTCTTGGCTGAGAAAAAGAAACCAGTCCAAGAATCCACAGAGCAATAACTCTTCAAAATCTGAAAATGGCATGTACCTTTCAGAGTGCGGAGCCTCCCAGAGCCCCAGAGGAAGTCCTTGCTCCCCTGTACTAGCTGCCAGATTTGTTCAGAAATTGTTCTCAGTCATAACGTTCGCTCGTTTAAAGGGCCCGATCCCAAACACCTTGACTCTGCATCTGCAGCGTGGCAGAATGGAGGTGGCCTCTGCCCATACTGGTTAGTCCTATTCTGCTGTTTGATATTATATTAACAAGGTAGAGCTAGGACAGGCTTTACGTAAATTAGATTTTTATTTAGTTTCAGCCTGAAATAAAACTTGCTTGTTTGCTCCTCAGAAGAGGAGCCCTGGGAACGTTGAAGAGCCTTTTGTTGACTGGCTTTCCTGTTGCCTGAACCTAACATTGCCCCCACCCTGTCTTCAGTTTCACTCGAGTCACTTCAGAGCTGGGCTACTCTCCCTGGAGATCTGTAAATTTTAGATGTTATGTGGTGCAGCCAGATCCAAACTCACTCTGACTATAATTGTAGAACCAGGAATTCAGGGGCTCTGAGATGAGAGAGGTCTGAGCTGGGAGATCTGCAGGCATATGCTAGCCAGGGTATGCTGGTGCTAGTCCAGTACAGCCTGCTGAGTAGTGGTGGCTCATAAGCTTGGGTGCAGTAGCCTGCTAGAGTGGCTTGCTCGCACTGTGTGGGCTACTAGCTTGGGTCTCTGCTAGCTCAGGCATTGCTTCCCTAGGCTCTGTTTTGCTCCCTAAATTTAAGAATTGGATCTTGTATTGATGGATGTTCTGCTTGTCCAGCAGCCAAGTACGAATTATTCCTCCTTCCAACTGCAGTCTGCAAGCCAAGAGCCAGACCACATTAGCTAGGGAACCACTGTGTTTCCTGCCAGTCACTGAGTGCAGCCTGGGGCATCTCATGCCTGAGATGGATAGGGTTCAGCTGTTGAGGGGAAGAGCCCTTCCAGAAAAGCTGCTTATGAACTGGGGATGGATGGAGGGCTGGAGGGTTCACAGTTTTGAAGTATAGTGTCCGGGCACTCTTCCGTTTCGTGATCCAACCCAGCGGACTGGTGTGGGATCTGATGAGTAGCTGCGGGTGGTGTGTGAGGTCGGATGACAAGAGGGAGGCTGTGGTGATGTCCCACAACCAGAGAACGTGCCTCCGGCTGGGCCCACACTCATAGGAGCCCCGCTACAAGGCACGCTCCCCAGCTGCAAACTTAACACCATCGTCCCTCCCCATTGTATGACCCAGCCTATGGGGTATCCTGTTTTGGGGGAAAAGAGCACAAGGAGGTCTGCAGAATGAAAGTGCCTGATGGTCTGATGAATTGTAGGCGTGTAAGAGTCTGCCAGAGCAGGAGCACAGGCCCTCAGTCAAAGCAAATATTAAGGGATAACAATGAGAACGTGAATCTGAAAGCACCCTGATAAATAAATGTCAAAATCGAATAGTTCTGAGTTTCATTTTGATTTTCCTGCTGGATCTACATTATGCTGCTTGCTTAAAGGGTAACTAATGTTTATTTTTGTCCTGCAGTGTGTATTTAGGGAGCGACTTCAGAATCAGGCCAACAATTAGTAACATTTTGAATGCTCTGGCACTCTGAATGGTAGCAATATAATAAGGTTCCTCTCTTTTTATGGCGCGAATGGGTCCTGATGGTCTTCTCCTTCTGGAAGGAGAGAAATCTCATAATTGTATCTGTCTTCCTCCTTTTTAGGTCAGCTATGAAATGCTGGAAAAAATCCCCATCCTAAAGAGTCTTCGATACAGAGAGAAGCAGGCTGGCAAGGATGTTACCCTCCAAGATGAACGTTCAGACTTGGCAAATGCCAACACACCAGCAGCGTTAAACGAGAAGGCGATGGCTGAAAATACAAGACCGCAGGCTGCAATGGGCTCGGCTCAAATAGGACAGCATTATGTTGAAAGTGATTCTTTAAGTCCCAGATTAGAGGGATCTGGCACGATTACTACTGTGTATGTGGGGAACATACCTCCCAGCGTAAGAGTGAGCGAGCTGAAATGTGCTTTAAGGGAATTCCGTGCAACTCCTTTACGACTGAATTGGCAAGGAGCGCAGCACAGGGCTTTTCTCGATTACAAGGATAAAGCAACCGCAGAGAGTGCTGTATCCTCTTTGAAAGGCTTGAGCCTCGGGGGTAATAGTTTGCGAGTTGAGCTGGCCAAGAATCAGAGAAACAAAGGGCAAGTAGAAATCAATAGTCAGAAACGAGTATGAATAGAGGAAAAAAATAGGCATGTTTTCATTGTTTTGTGAGAAGCCAACCTAAGTTTTCAAGGATATTAGTATATCCTCTGATTTCTGCAGGCTAAACAACAAAGCGCAAAGCCAGCTCTCCAAACAAATGAGGCATACATCTCACAGCTGACTTGCCTCATGCCTGCAGTTGTACATGCAAAGTGTGTTTGTCAAGACAGATGACAGAGGGGCCATTTCTCTAAACAGTTATCCCCAAAGTATGGACACTCTGTGTATTTGTTTTTCATTGGCCGGGGGTTGATTTGCTGTTGGGTGCGTACGTTTGTTAGGCCTGGATCAAAAACCTGCCCCTTGGTAGCTGTGTGCAGCCACATGCAGCAAGGTGGTTATGTTCTGTCATCTAAAGGTGGTACCTGCAAATTTGTACTTGTGAGCTTAAAAGCCAGCTGCGGAAAATCTGTCGTAAGGGTTACAATTCTGTTTACTGAAAAATGAGGTTTGCCTGTTGGGAGTTTTCAGCATATTTTTCATAAAAATGGCCGGGGGGAGAGATTGCCCTTTCTGTGCTCTTGACGAATGGCTGTGGAAACACCGGCTCAGCCACGGAGTTCTGGTGATAGCTATTAACATCAGGTGGAAGAGGTGGTATCCCCTTTCTCAGCTTCGTTTTGTTAATTCAGCCCTTTGTAAACCTTTTATTTCTTCTTTCAGTCTGGCAGAGGAAAGTGAAGACCAGTTTTCTCCTCTGCTTTTCCCCAAAACTCTTCACGTGCCTTTTTCATGGATGCAGATAATTATAAAATAGATGCTTTTCCTTATTGTTTTGTCTCTTATAGTTCGGTGTGATTCCGTTGCCTCCGTGAAATTGCATTAATATTAATCATTGTAGTGGAAATGAAAAGCAGACAGGCCACGGTCAAAACTTGTGGGTGCCTAGTCTGGTATGGAGTCGTTTGAAAAGTTACTGGAGATAGTAACGAAGCCTGTTCCCGCTGTGTCTTTGCCACCACCAGCGTGGTCTTCTTGCACCCAGGACATCAGAGAGCGATGAGGGTTGGACAGCAGCACTGGCAACGTTTCATTGTGAAAGTGCTATCAAGCACTAGCTTGCACAGGAAGATTTGCACACACACGAACATTCCCTTACAGTGTAAAGGAGAACGATGATTTATTTGGTATGGCTTTTATTACATTTTTTTTTTCCCTTCGGTTTCCTATTCCTGAAAAACAAGTTGAATTTTGGCTGAACCATCCTTTCTAAACAGAAGCACTTTTGCCATTGATGCTGGGCACATAGTCAAAGTAAGCATCGAAATGGATATTTTTTTAAGTATGAGTTGGAAACTTTTTTTAGCCAGAGGGTACTGTTAAGTATATTTTAAGCAAGTTATTATGCCTCAAGGGTCAGACATTTTGTACAGTATTAAATAAAAAGTTCTCATCGTTATCATGTACTCTGTACAGACGGGCTCAAGGAAAGCATTGCTTCAACTTCTTGTAAGATCAACAAAGAAAAGGTTTCTGAAAAAAAAAAATAGTGACATGCTCTAAAATCTAAAATGCTCTCTCTTTCTCCAGCTCTAAAATTATTTTCAGTATCACTTAGTCTGAATTAAAACATAAGCACGGCAGAGTCCTTTGCATCGTGTTTCAGTAGTTGTGCACTTCAAGGGTAAGAGTCAGGGGTTATGTTACTACTTAAACATACTCGTTACATCAGGAGCTTAGGAAAGAAAAGCAAAAAAATAATTCTACATCACTGCCTTCCCCTTCCAAATGATGGCAAATTGAGTAACATGATCATTTGATGTTCTTTTTGACTCTTGCAGTACTGCTTGCTTTGGGGAAGATGCCCAGGTGACCTTAGCAGTTAAAAAACAGTTACTCTGCCAATGAAAACTTCCAGCATCTCACTCTTCCCGTGTTGCATTACAGACTGAACCAGCCTTCTCTGGTCAAATTTGTGGGAATTTCATCCTCTACCTTATTTCTTCTCTTAACATCTGGAGTTTCAGTGCAGATACCTTTACATGTTAACGCGATACGTCAATGCGTGACGTTTGCTTGCTTTGCTCTCCACCCTGTGTGCAGTCAGTGGCCAGGTTGGTTTGGACAAACATGTTGAGATGGTTTTCTGTTTGCAGTTGTGGTTCTGCGTGTAGCCCCCGGGGTGAGCTGTGCTAGGGCCCTGTCCGGGCGGGCAGATCTCCGCGCTTCTCATCCCTCCTGTCGCTTTTTTCTGTCCTGTATTGTGAGGCCACATTTCACAGTACTACCCCATATCTTGTTACTTTCCCAATAGGCAATTAACGCTACGGAGAAGATCCTAACTAGGCAGAGGTATGTAACTCTAGTTAGGCTCAGGGAAGAAAAATAGCTACTATAAGCTTACGCTAGCGGACCATTCGTTAGCATTTTGAATGGACTGAAATAATGATGTTATGATAATTGTTTTTCCAACTTGAGCAGTCATTTCTGATGCAGGGTATTAATAAACAGCAAGGTCTTTTGGGCCTTGCCCTCTTAAAGTCATTAAAGCGTGTTTTTAATTTAAGGTAGCAGCTGCCCCAGGTCAGAGTTTGGCAGCCTGTTGCAAACCCATCTGCACCAGCAGCTTCAGCGAATCGGTAGCAACGGAAGTGCAGGTACAAGTTCATTTCTGTCATCTCTGCTTCAAAAGCAACAACCTGCAGGGAATGAATTAGTATCGGCAGCTGTTGAAAATAGAGCCTGAAGCTGCAGAAGGCTCACCAGGGTTCAGAGCTTCTGCAGAGGTTTAGTTGTAAGAGGTCACACGGCGGCAAAACAGTAGTCCTCAGAAATCACCTTTGGGTTGCTATAGGATTCCCACGGGAAAAACAGGAGCTGGAGTATTTACATTCTGCAAAAAAGCAGCATGACTTGCAGCAAAGCTGTTCTACAAGCTTACCTGTGAGGCGGAGGGTATAGCTCGTGCTTTCTGAAATGCATCATGTACCAACACAGCAGGAGTCTGAGCCCGCGCGCTCCAAAGTCAACGCAATTTCTGTCTTGGACAGCAAGGGAAGTGGTGACGAGGATGGGGCCCTTACCGCTGCTTGGGAAGTTGCACATCTTTAGCTAAAAGACATTTCAATGCAAGATGCTAAATTGCTATTTAATTAAATAATGCGAGACTGCCCAAGGCGCACGCCTACATGGCTTTCTGGTGTCTTCAGCTGTATGATGTGGATTTTTTTTCTTGGCTGACCAAGTTCCTACTTGAGGAAACGGCGGATTTTGAAAAAAAGTGAATGGGGCAGTCTGCGTCTCTTGGATCTATTGTTTCAGGCTCTCTGCACGCTCAGGAAGACATCAGTTATACATGAGGCACTCCTGACTTTTCTCTAAATCCACCAAACGGAAGTGCAATACATTTTAGTGAATCCTTGGCCTCCGATCTCATAATGAAACCCAAGGAACTGAAGCCTGCTTACGTTTCACTTTGGCCCAGACCAAGACTATGCAAGATATTTTACTGACAATCAAACCATGAAGTCCGTGCCCTGAAGAACTGACAGTCCGAATTAACAGGCTCTAAAGATGGGCACGTTTACTCGAGCGATACTTCTTCATTTCGTACCCGAGGTAGTTGTGGCCCTGCTGTTAGCACCTAGGTTGAGCTAGGCTACCTCTACGTAGACACGCCTCATCTCGGGTGGATACCGGCCCGTAATCCCCTCCTTCTTGCTGTGGCTGAAGCACCACTCCAGGACTTCAGAGGCCTCGCTGCTTCAAGCCGAGTCTCTGTAATGGCCTTTCTGTCACCCCCCATCTCTTTCTGTAAGGACAGGGGGACATCCTTGCTTCTCGAGACTCATGATAAAAGCATCCACAGTGACGAAGAAATGCCTGGATGCTGCAGAAAACTCTGAAGCACTGGTGATGGATGGGTAGTCTGCTTTTAATAGGAAATGAAGTGATCCCTAACGCAGGCTTGATTTTTGTTCACTTGCAGCAGCAGAGGAGCCCGCGTTTCACTGCTGTGCGAGGAGAAGAAAAGTTCAGCAGTACAATGGGAAATACTTTACTGAGCCAACTTTGTTCAAAAGTAATTAAAAATGAGGTCTTTCTATTCTCTGCGCAGCCTGATGTCCTCGCTTGTCATGTGGTTCAGCGCATTCTTTCCAGCTCCTTTCATGGCACAAACAAGTTCGGATGTTGTTATTGCACACCCCTCTTTTTGAGGGTTCAAGTGGGAAAGATGCTGAACAGCTCCGGAGGCTGGTCGGTGTGAGCAAACCCAGCTCCGCTCCGATGGCAGCTGGGAGGGTGTGGGATCCAGCAGCGACCACCCGAGGTGTTGCATCACGGACGTGAGCTTCCCGGGGCGATTCTGCCCCTCTTCCTATCCTCGCTCGTGGGAGACCTGCGAAGAGAAAAACAGTATCATCAGATGAACGGAGCCTCTACCGGATCCATGAGGCCGAAGAACATGGTCACTTCGGAGGGGATTTTCTTTTGTTGAATGATGCTAGTCACAGCGTGGTGTGTGGCACAGAGCAGTGAGGCAACGTTATAATCTGGTAACAATAAAAGCGAGGTGGCTGACTGCCACTTAGCACTGAAAACTATACAATCATTAGGGTTTTCCTTCAGACAGCTATGTCCATGCGTTTCCTGGAACAAGGACAAGGCCACACAGCTTCAATCCACCGAAGACAACAGCGAGTAAACAAGCCGTGTTGCTGTGTAGTCTTCTCTGAGTGACAAGAGTCAGGGATTGTTTGTTTCCACGGGGAGAAAAAGGAAAAATAAAAATCTCGCCATCGGGGTGGGAAGAGAGTAAAGCCCTGTCCTGGGTCCCACAGCCGGGTCCTCATCCAGCCCTCCAGCATCTCCATGCGCATCAGCCCCTGGTCCCCTCCCAGAAAGCAGTCATTAAGGACGGAGGCTTCAGCCCATTATCTTTGGAGACCAATAAAATATCTCGGAAAAGGGACGGCTAAATACTGTCTTCAGGTCATGTCTTTTTTTTTTTTATTATTATGTCATCGTCCTCTACTGCTCCAAAGGGAGAAAAAATGTTTTTAGGGGAATGTTTCCATTGAAAAACCTAGCACTGGGGCTGCGTTTTTCTCCACAACTGCAGCGAGGGGTGAGGAGGGGGAGGAAAAGCTGTGCTGGGATTTCTCTCATTCCGG